GAGGAAATTGTGAAAGTTGATGTTAGTGATTATAAATAGTAAAGTGCAGTATAATTGAATTGTGAATTACTGAGAAAATAAAGGACATTAGATAGAATCTTTATAACGAAAGAAACTGCAAATTAAGTTGGCGAGTTTTTATTTAACAATCCAGAGATCGTACCCGAAGGATCTAGAAAATAATCGAGGTTGATTTAGTAAAATCGTAACACTATGCAAGGCGAACCTGGCGTTAGTTTTGACAGGTGTGGCATCTCTTAAAATTAAAGGATTAAGAGCAAAGCAAAATAATGGCAAAATTTCGTTTTTTTTTTGTGTAAAAAATTACTTACCGTTATTTTCAATTGCGTATATTAAAAGTGTCGAATCAGCGCGATTTAATTCACCTTTCTGTTTTTTCAAAACAAATGTTCCAAATTAATTCAAATTTTATTAAAATGAGTGACACCAAGTATGGTAAGTAAAATAGAGTTTAAAATTTTATGAATATTTGTGTACTTAGCATAATTCTTTATAGAGTCTGAAGTTCCATCTATCAGCGCAGCGGCAGCAAAATGGGTGCGGTTTACTGCGGAGGATTTCCGAAACATGTGGAGCCTCCATAAAATGCGGGACAATTTGAGGACTGTTGAGCAATGTATCGCATTTGCAGAGGAGCATGGGTTACTGCTACGGAGTAAATTGTGTTTTCATAGGACGCCCATCTCCGACGGAAATGACGTTCTCGGCAGTATTTGGAGCGGAAAATTGTATGGAGAAATCCAATGTTTCAAGGGCAAAAGGAACCTGGTTTGGGGAGGCTCGTACATCCTTCCCACTCGTTATTTATATATTATTTTGGTTTGCGCATAAAGAGTCGCAATTCGACGTAATGCTCGACGATTACGTTGGCAGGCCTTTGTCGATCCAGACCATCACGGATTGGAATAGTTACTGAGGGGAAACCGTGGTGCTGTACCAAATCGACCAGCAAACAACATTTGGAGGTGTGCCCGGACAACAGGCGATCAGCAGAAGTGATTGTACCACTAATTCGAAATACGTAGCTGAAGGGACAATCATACATACCGATTGCTGGATAACCCCTTTGTGGCACAGGATGACACACATACTCAAAGGATTGAGTCCCAGTGGAGAGTTATCAAACGGTTTTTACAAAAAGATAATTATAACAATCCATCAAGGGCGTTGATCTGACTCAAAGTTGTGGTATTCACTCAGTCAAACTCTCCTTAACCAATGCGGCCGATTCCGGACCACCATTACAATCACAACCTGCGTAATAGAGAACGAAACCAAAGCGCATTTGATTTTTTTAACGTAATGCATCGTAACGATAAATTTTGCATTAATCAGAAATTTTTTATCATTTAAATTGAATTCGGAAATATCATTTTTAAAGTAGATGTCAAAATAGATTTATGTTTTTCCTCGTCACGAAAAATTGTCAAACGTTAACTTGAAACGTTGCACAAATAAACGAAGACAGAAGGAAAAAGATTCGTATTACAATTGGTTTGAAAAGAATTTTTAAATAGATTTGTTTATAAAGTTATTTATGCAACAATATTATATACATAAATAAATTTTAACTTTTCAATCTTAGTTTTAGCCACCATCAGTACGTATGTGTTTTCCGTTTATACATATAATATATAACATCTTTTGAAATTGTATTATACATAAATTTTTTGAAAAAACAAGCTTAAGCTTCTCGTTGAAATATCATTTCACTGAGCTCAGTTATGTTAGCAAAATGAAATGGTATAGTTGTATTCGTTGATCATATCTGTTAGTTGGTACGTTTCTGGCTGATTGAACAACAATAATGTAAACTGTCTGAATTCGCCTTGATTGAATGGAGACGTTATTTGGTATCGACTTCAGAAAAATTTAGAGCCCTGTATACGAATCTTATCGATATTTATTTGACGTTTTGAGGGCATTGTGTTGTTATAGATATAAAATTGAAGTGATTTTCTGAAATTTACCCTTGGCTAAAAAGGGGTTCTGAAGGAATGAGTAAAAATTACAGCAAGGATTGTTTGGGGCTTCGCTTACGGATAACCGCACTTCATCAAACTTGGAAGTGGTTACATCAAACAGCTGCGTTACACGAATATTTGATATCTGTTACGACAGCTAGCTCGGCAGGCACTTACTGTGATAAGAATTTTGATACTTTTCAAGGTCGCCAAAGAACATAGAGCTACAAAAATATTTACGTATATATTACGATAATATTAGAAAACATTGTTTTTAAAAGAACATTTCTCTTAATTACCAAGTAGAAAATGTGTAGTGCCTGCTAAATAAAAAATCGAAATTGAATTAAAAAGTAATAAAAACTCTCGTTGTTTCAACCGTTGCTACGTTTTTATATTCATCATGAATACAGTAGCTGTCACAGGTTTTAAAAGGGGGATCCATAAGTGCCTCTTGCATATGTTCGAAGAAAGTCATATAAAAGTGTCGTATAATTGTTTCCACACTATGAATAAAAATCAAGAAAAGCATACTCCTAAAAACTATGGACTACCCCCATCATCATTTATAACTAAATCAGCAAAGAACTCTTCGCAGAAATCCGAAAATTCTGAAGTTTCTGATGCAAACATTAAAAAATCTGTATTTATTTCACAGTCGCATGATATATTCACCAATTTGGCCTTAGAGGATTGGTTGTACAGAAATTTTGATTTTCGAACACACCATGTGTTATTGCTATGGGTTAATGATCCATGCGTGGTTATTGGCCGTCACCAAAATCCATTTATGGAAACAAACGTTTCAAAATTACATTTACAAGATGTTACAATGGCGCGCCGTAACAGCGGTGGTGGAGCGGTTTATCATGATCGTGGTAACCTTAATTGTACATTTTTCACACCACGTGAACGTTATAATAGAAAATACAACTTGAATATACTCACAAGGGCCCTGTTTCGAGAATGGGCAATAAAATCTGAAATAAATGAGCGTGACGATGTATGTATCAATGAAAAAAAGGTAAGTAAAAACATCTATTAAACTTATTTCGTCTTAGGTTGCAACAGTATTTAAGTTTTAAGCAAGAAATAATACTAGATAATAGGAACAATTAAGTTTCAGATTTTGTTCATCTATCTATGTTATAAAATTAATAAATAAATAAAAAACTCAATTGTTATTTTGTATTCAAAAATAAAACAAAACTTGTGCTTGAACTTGAACTGTTGAGATACAATATAAAAAATAAAATATACAGTATTCGCCAAAACTATAGCACCCCCTTAGTACAATTTTTGCTCGGGCTGTTCTCTTTATATAAATTAATTTTTAAATTTGGCCGAAGACCGCCAACTTGGTGGTTCTACTGCAATACCTGGCCGTTGTAATGGAGTTCCCAGCAGGACAACGACCCTAAGCATGTCTCGCAGCAGTGTAACAGTTCTTTTAGACGAAAAGAGAGATCGTAAACATACAAATTAATAGGAAACACTGTAGAACCAAGGACAAATTGTTTACAGCTGTAAAATTGGCTTGGAAGGGCATATGTCAGGACGTTGTCAATGACTTGATATCTTCAATACCTAAAATTTGCGCAACAATCCTTCAAAGTAATTGGTTTGCTACAAAATAATAGTCTAGAGCGTTTGTTTTTAAAACAATACAGGGGTGCTTTAGTTTCGTTCATCGAATCTTGGACTTCTGTAAACTGTGATAAACTTTTCAAATTAAAAGAGTATAATTCTTTATTAAGAATGAATATATAAGCATAAATAAAATGCAAAAAGAAAACAGCCGTAGCAAAAATTGCACTAGAGGGGTGATTTAGTTGATACCGTATGTTCTTATTTAATTTACGTAAAATAACACTATGTACTCTAATTTTTGTAGTTTTGTTAGGGCAGATTTGGCTATGTTTGATTTAGCTCTTCACCATATGTAATTTTACTGCTACTCTTCTGCATGGAATCCTTTATGTCGTCGCTTTATTTATCACATATAAAAGGGCATATTGTTGTCAATTGCAGCTCTTAGTATCACTGCTAATTAATATAAAGCTGTGTTAATCTGCTCTCTCACGCAAGCTGTGCATTGTGTAAAGGTGTATTTTTTAGAATAGTTGATATTATATAGTTCTCAGTAATCTTTTTCTTAGCTTTTAAATGATGTTGAACTTATTAACCTGAAATATTCGGCTACTGTATAGTCCTTTTCCGCCAGGCTTCGGCTACTTTATAGTTCTTTTCCGCCAGGCTTGTAGGCAGACGAATCCAAATAAGGCTCTCCTCCATGCCATTAGTATATATTCCAACGCCTGGCTTTTTCTCATGATATGTACCAGCACGGATGTTAGATATTACCCTCTGTTTTTAATATACGGTTGTTGAATTTGGAAAGTGTGTTTTCAGCAGTTTCTAATTCCTTTTTGTTATTTATGTATTTATTGTCTTTTGGTATTAATGTCATTTTACTTTCTAGTGTATTTTTAGCTAGAGTTTAGTGTAATATGGTTGTTGTTGTTTTAAACGCAAAAATGTTCCGGTATAAAGACCCGACTGGATTTTAGTCGCCTCTTACGACAGCATGCCTTACCACGGGTAAATTCTTGAACCCCTAACCCGCAACTATGGCAATATATTTTCGCAGAAGTTTCTAAATTGTTATATTTTTCATACTTTATTTGCTATTTCTTCAGCGTTCTACAGTTTGTCCGGTTGTTTTTCCTGTGGTTCCTAATGGCTTTACTTCTCTCGATTATTGACCCTAAGGAGAATTGTATAATTCTATGATCTGAGTTCTTATTGTTACGAAAGTTAAGGAATGAGTAGATAACAAGCAATTATTGTTATTTTCCCTTAAGATAACTTAATTTATTATTTTTTAAAAATCAATGCAACTTTGAATTTGTTTCCAACCTTTTTATGATTTGTATGTAATAACTTTCCTGAATAATAAAGCTTAGCACCGTTAAATGGCAAATTTTTTGAATCATTGAATAATAGGTAATTTATTTCAGAAGCCATTTCGATTCCGTATCTGTTCTGTGGTGTCAATTATGTACCGTTAGATGAAAGCTATATGTGCAATCAGGCATTCTACATTAGGTATTTGAATTCATATTATCAAAGGATTTTTTAAAAACAATATATGTACATCTCATCATCGCGTTTCTCAACTTTTCTTTTTATGGAGTTAATCGATGTGTTCACTGAGCGGCTCATATCATGATACAATAATTTAAAGGTATTTTCATTCGGATAGGTATATAGCTATGAACTATTTGACATTAAACGTGTTTCGTCTATTTCGTGTTCACATAAATAGTAAGTATGTGAAGAATTTTCATATTTTTTATATGTTTAAACATTCAAAATCACTTATCACTATATATACAGCTTGCTCGATCTTGGAACCCTGATCTCGTAATGATACATACAGTATGGTAATTAAATGCAAAATGAAAAAAAAGTAATTAATTTTTCAACTTGATTTTTATTAACTAAAACAATTTTCTTTAGTCTGAGTAATCTTAACGCAAATACTGCTCACAAATTCCAGAATTGAAGACGTGAAAGTAAAAGAGATATAAAAATTCAAAAGACAGCAAATATCATGATGCCAATTGATTGTTTGTATTTTGTACACAATTATTGCAAATATAATTAAAACTGGGAAAATATAGCAGTGTTGGCACTAATATTTGGTATGTTGGCCACTTGCTTCTATAACAGCTCGAAGATGACGGGGCATGGACTGAATAAGGTTGTTTAAGTCATAATTATCAGATATTTTGTTCCACTCTTCCTGAATGAACTTAATAAGAGCCCCGTTAGGCCCCGTTTGCCCACTCGCCTCCTTAAAAAAGCCCATAAATTTTCTATGATGTTTAAGTCAGCACTCTGGGCAGGAGTGTCAATCGCTTTACTGCAATTGTATAGTAGCCACGTCCTGCATGTTTCCGATCGTTTTCCTGATACAGTTTGTGCCATGGTCAACAAATTCAAATCTTATCGGACTCTTGAAAATTCGGAGCTCACCAACACCTTTCGACGAAATGCAACCCCAAACCATTGCATAAAGCTTACCAAATTTTACTGTTGGAATTATATTTTTCTGTTTTAAAGGTATAACATTCTTTATGTCTCGTCGCAAAAAAATAGCGTAATCCCAGAATTGCGAAATCCTGTAAACATTGGTTGAGCCGCTTCTCAATATTAACTACCGACAGCAATGGTTTCCTATTAGCTATTTGCGAGGAGTATTTGCGTACGAGTATTTTTAAGACTTTTCGGATTGTTTCGTGACTTACTGTATTATGGCAATCATTTTTAATATCTAACACCAATTTTCTCAGGGTGGTTTGAGGACTATCACGAATGATCGCGTCTAGAAAGTTTCGGTGGTCTAACTCAAGAGTGCTTTAATTCCAACTTCTTCCCTTTTTCTGCGCGTTTAATAATATTATAAATCGTTCTAAGCTTGATAGACAGAATTCCTTAACCGATTTCTCTTTGTGATAGTTAAAATAAACCAATTGAATAAGATTTTTATTAGTTCGTTTGCCAGGCATTGTTAAAAGCTCTAAATGAACAAGATCTGAAGTGTCCAAAGCATTAATAGAATTGAATGTAATAGAGCAACGCATAGCTATGACGCACGCGTTCAGTCGCTTTCAAATTTGTGATACCGTTAAGTTATTTTTGTTTTATTTTGAATATTGTGGGCATTTTGCAAAGTATTAATTGACAATGCAATATGATATTTGTTGAGAATACTTATATTAAAAATACCAATTAATAAAAAAAGGAAAATAATATACTTTCATTTATAAAATATAATTTAAAAGGAGATTTTTGTGATTTTTTCATTTTGCAAACAATTAATTGACATACTGTATGTTAGTTCTGTGAAGAAGACTCCTCTCACCTTTCCAGATGCTAAACGACCGCACTTAAAGCTGCGCAGTTACAGGAAAGCTGTTTGAGAAACACCCCATCTCTCTATATTGTCCGGTGAATACGCCGGTTGTTATGCTTGTTATTGTTATGCTTATGTTATGGTGATCTTACTTAGAAGGAGTATAGACTTCACTTCGATCTATTCTTGGCCCTTCTGGTGACGGCTAGTCTCAATAAATATGTCTACGACATGTGCAAAAATTGCCTGTGTCATGGCTATCCCTATCCAGTCAGCTCATCATTTCTTGGGGTATTGAGTAAACCTATAAGTCTAAGCTTCGAAAAATAGTGAAAAATGTCAAGTCTTTCCATTTTAATTGTAATAAAAATCATTTTCTTACTTCTGCCGCCTAAGGGAAACGGCTTGAAACATATATTTTGAAAGATCCAGATATACTAAGAAGATAATCCCAAAAATAATAAAAAAAATCTTCAAGTTGAAAATTGTATAAGTGGAAAGATCAAAAATTTTTGAGCACACATGTAAGTGCCAAAAATTTCGAAGTGAAACCATAATACAATAAGTTAAGTTTTCGTATCATGAAACTACCTTTAAATTTTTGTATTATGGCATGATGTATATTGAATTTTCCAGTACGAAATATGCAACTTCTGCTCCAAATATCAAAGTTGTGCTCTCTCGTTTCAATATCATTGACACCACACCGGAAGAGAATCAATGAAAAATGGAAAATTGTTACTATTGGACAGGTCAACGAGCAATCAAAAAAAATCCACATAACCTGAAGGATTAAGAGCTTCTTGCGTGATTTCTTATTTCATAATTTTCTAAATGTATTAAGATATTAATGATGATATTATTAATTTTTGATTGTTGAAATACCCAAACAACAATTATATGTAGCTATTATGAGAAAAAAAAATGTCGCTCAGAAAATAATCATTGTATTATTCAATAATTCATTTTATAAGGTCCCCATTTAAATTTTTCCAAAAAATTCGTTGTAAAAGGAATTTAATTATTCATGCTTAGCAAAAAAAAATAACGCCTAAATAAATATTATTTCTGACATTGCTTTAGCTTAAGGATACCGAAACAAGAAAGGTATTAGATAAGGTATAAGATAAGTTGAAGCTAATCTTTTATGCAACAAAAACAGGTTAAGAATATTATAATACAGTTGAAACTAAAAATTTCGAATTAAGTGTGAAGTAAATATGAGTAGGACTGAATATTATTTCTTGCAGTAATTAAATAATCATATGTACGTATATTTAATTTATTTATAGCTTTCTGGAACGGCTGCGAAATTAGGATTCCCGAATGCTTACCATCATTGCACGCTTCTAGCCAACACTAATAAATCGAATCTTGGAAATTGTTTAAGCAAGGAAAAGGTCAGTTCCTAAGTTATAATTCTAAAAATTAAATAAGGTATAACATATCTAAATACAAACTCATATATGCCTACGAGTACGTATGCAATTGCGATTTAGTGAAATTTTACGACAGGCATGCCTTACGGAGGGTAAATTCTTACATTACCAACCCGCAGGGTTTTCGGTGAAGAAGTAGCTAGCTTTGCTTTCACCATATTAGTCAAAGAAGCGAAGCGATTGGGTCATGCATTAAACGGTATAAAATGAAATATCTACTGTCATTAAATAGTCAGCAACATGTTGCTATTTTGTGCCATTTAGAGAGACAAATGTAAGAAATATATATATCGGATGACCAATAATATGGACTAGTATTATTGATTATTTTTATGGACCTTTGGTAAAACATTACTGAAAATGATTTTTTTTTTTTGGGATGTTATGATAAATTAAGTGTAAAATGCCTGAATTAAGCGCCAGTTATTTATATATTTTGCATGGTTTAACTTAAATTTTAAATTCAATTTAATTTAATTTTTATAAGAATCGCATACTGCTACACGTTAGAATTGTATGAGGCTTCACAAATTGAACTCTCTTAAATAGCTTGAAGTTGAAGCTATAATGTGAGCATATATGTATATATAAAATTGATTTTTTATTAATTAATTTTTTTTATGAATTATAAATATGTAATTTTTCATAGGTCAATTACATCAGTAATTCTACTCAATCCGTGCGTTCGCCAATTAAAAATTTATGTGAAATTAATCGTAATGTTAATATCTCGCAATTAATATCTGCAATTGGTTACGAATACTTAAGGACATTCGCCACAGAGTTACAAGATGGTGGTAATCAGCAAATAATGAAACAACGCGGATTCCAACTAATCAATCCAACAGAAAAGTGGTTCCCAGGAATTACTGATTTAAGAACAGAGTTCAATTCTTGGGAATGGATTTTTGGGAAGACTCCAAAGTTTACAGTGGAAAAAGACTTATTTTTAAAGGATCAAGACAAACAACATAAGATGATTCTTAATGTACAAGTAGAAAAGGTACCTAAAATAAATAATTTATGCGTCATATCTAAAATCTACCTTTTAGGGGTTAATTAACGATGTATCGATTACGATGCCTAATGGAGAACGTCTACCAGTTGTGTCTACTTTACAGAACCAATTTTACAACGAGGAGAATTTAAATAAAATTATAAATGCTCTTAAGTTGGCTTCTACAGACAATATAATGCAAGCTATAAATGGCCATTAATGTGACGAAATTTTTTATTACTTTTTAAATAAATGGCTTTTAGCCACATGATTAGTTAATATGTTTATTAAATTACAAATTTAAATAAATTTCATTATTTGCTGTCTAAATGATGTACTAAAATTTTTCTTAATGTAGCGAGAGGTTCAGGACACGAGCTTTTCAGGCGGAAGAGGAATGTTAGATGAGTTGGTTTCAGTGAGCATGCGGGACATATATTAAATATATCAGGGATGAGTCTTGCCTTTCTCTCGAAAACTCTTAACGCCGACTCATCAGATGTGGCAATCGCCCATCGCAATGTCTCCCTAGCCAAGTGTTGTTACTGTATTTATAATTAAAATATAAGCAGGCTCCCTGTATATAAAAAGTGTAACTTTAAATGTTGATAAATTTGCGCGCGATAAAATTTATATTTTTGGTAATTGTGGACCTCCTACTACCAACCGTGACCATTTCATAAAGATAAACCACAGGCTCTACACTAAAGTTTTCACCTCGTTTCCACGTTGATTCGAATATCGAAAATATACAAATAAACAGAAAAACCATAATTTCACAAATAAATTCCCAAAAACAGAAAATTTTTGAGTGCTCTCAATTCACATCGTGTTGTGCGTAGGATTTGGTACTCTTAGTTGGGAATGTGCGGGTGCCCGACTAATTGATGTCCTATTAAAGTTGAAGGCTGACATCACCGCCGTTCAAGGAGTGCGATGGACGGGAGAAGGACGGAAGTAGGTGGGTCTTTGTGGCATTTACTACAGCGGATATATTAAGGAGCACTAATTTGGCGTCGGATTCGTGGTGGCGGAGAGATTTCGTCGCCCCTATGGATGAGGAGGATGATGTGACCAAGGAAACCATTTGTGAGCCCCTCGTGCTTACTTATGAGTGCTGTCTTCTCCTCGATGTCGAAATCGTTCTTGGCGACAACGATAAGGTGGGCAAAGACTCGAAAAATTCAGCGTCGACTTCGCCGGTGCCGGAAAAACGGTTGTCTGTAGCACTAGATTCCAGCACGAGGGAATTCGCCAAGCTACTTGGCTGTCTCCAGACCAATCAATCCAGGTCCTTAGTCAAAGGACGCCCGTCAACAAACACAAGGAAGATCCGACGTCGAAAAACTGCAATTACAGCAAACAGCCGAACGGTTTGGCTATGTACCGCCGCTTCGGAAACAATTGGCAGTGTCAAAAAAAAAGAACTGGAAAAGAACCTGGGGGGTATGAAGAGCTTGAGAAGCAGGCCGACAAGGGTTTCGTTCGAAAATTATACGAAAAGATACGGCGACTTACAGAATTATTCACGACCGGAGCAAACTTTTGTACGACCCAGGGGGAGTGACAGATGCTTATAGTAGACAGAATTTATGGAGGGAACACTTCTCCAGCCTACTGAATGGCAGTGTAAATGTAACACCCGGAGATGGTGAACCCGAAACACTATGGAAAAGATGTTCCGTTATCCGACTATGAAGAACAGGGCGTTGAAGAACTAATCAGCTTATTTGCAAAATATGTTCGAATGAAAGTATGCCTACCCTATTCACAAAATGAGTGTTCCCACAGTCTGCGACAATCACTTTGGAATATATATTTATATACATATATATATAATTGGCGCTTTGTAACCGGTGAAGCGATTTTCGGCCGAGCTCCTCCTCCAATTTGTAAGTTTACGTCTTTATTTTTTTTTCCAACAAATGGAGCAACCTACAGTTTATACTAACCCGCCTGCGAACGGCTGATGTTTTTTTATTAGTAGCTTTTTTTCATGTCAGAAATACACTCGAAGGGGTTGACATTCCCTGCCGAGGGGCGACCGTAATTAGAAAATTTAACTCCTTGATATCGTCTAAAGCCCACCGTCAACAAACTGATTGCACCTTATCAGTGTGGCTTTAGATCTGGTAAGTCAACCATTGACTAGATCTTCACCATGTGCCAAATCTTGCGAAAGAGGGCAGTCAGTACAGCCCTATATGTGTAAACTGCCGATAGACAACACTAGAAGCGCTGTCAGATTTGGGAATGAACTCTCCCAGCCATTAGATACCAAACGTCTCTCGACTCTTTATCGTGTGATTTCTGTAATTTGTTGCTGGATAAAACAATAAGAGCGGCAGAGCTGAAATGCGAAGGTACAATTTTCTATAAGAGTGTAAAGCTGCTGGCGTACACCAATAAAATTGATATCATTGGGCGAAACCACAGCGCCTTGAGTCCTACTTTCTCCAGACTTAATGAGGAAGCGAAATGAATGGGTCTAGTATTGAACGAGGGCAAGACGAAATATCTTCTGCCATCAAATAAACAGTCACCGAATTCGACACTTGGCTCCCACGTCACTGTTGACAGTCATAACTTCGAGGTCGTAGATAACTTCGCTTATTTAGGAACCAGCATTAACACCAATAATAATTTCGGCTTTGAAATCCAAAGCAGAATCACTCTTTCCGACAGGAGATACTTTGGGCTGAGTAGACAATTGAAAAGCAAAGTCCCCTGTCGACGAACGAAAACCAAACTCTACAAGTCGCTGGTTTCACTTGGTATTTCCGACGGGCGCCAAACGGCGAAAAGAAGGGATGAATGGCGCGCTAATATTGATTCGGCTATAATCGTGTAAGCGGTGCCAACGCCAATAAAGACGAAGAGTTTCGCACCGTATTATATCCTTCCCTTAAACTACTTGATAAACAGAGACATCATATTTTCAAAATATATTGTTTGATCAGCAATATTTGGAGCTTGAAGCAACTCAATTGCTGTAATCTCCTAAAATTTTAATCGTCATCTTCTTGGAACTTTCGTTTGCACTCTTGGTAAAATTATTATATTAGAATTATGTTATAAAACGTTAAAATCAATATACATAAGTATATCAACACACCGTCGCTTCCTATGAAGCTGGATTTTCTCTCTAATTTAATGGCTGCAATATTCAAGCGCCAATAGGGGTATGCACAAATGTATGTATATACAAAGTATAATAATAAATTTAATATTTAGCATTGGTTGAAATTTTATTAGGACTTTTCAAATTGCTTTAAACATTTAATTTGAATTAAATATGCAGAGCCACGTGTGACTACGTCTTTTTTACATCAAACTCAAAGAAAAGTTATAAGGCATCGGTCTGATATTTAGTTTGCCAGATAACAATTAAGGTAAGCAGTTTCCAGAAGAAATATATTTAAATATTTAGGTTATATTTCAATTCAGATTTACAGATTTAAATACTATTTTCCACTCAAATATGTCCGCTAAGAGATAATGCAACATTTTGAAAAGTGGTGTACGGACAAAGTACAAAACAACTTCAAGGAACTACTTAAGAAAAAGACATATGTTTGACTATTTAAAAGTTGCATACAATCGTAATGAAAACATTTGTTATTTTCGTCAAAAAAAAATTTCAAAATTTCAAGCGAGTGTTAAAGTAAACACTAATTCTGGGTTGTTCAAACTTGTAGTTCTGGAGACGATTTTATAACATTGCACTAATTTAAGTTCTGAGGATTAAGCGGCCTAGCCTGTACAGCCCAAAAAGAATGATGTAGAGATCTATGTTACATCCGTCAAAGTGTTGTTCATTTGCAAAATAGGAATGTATTCAGATTTATTATATATACATAGATATATATATATATATAATATATGTTGCTTTGCAACCGCTGGAGCTGAGGGGTTTTATGCGTAGCTTTTTTATTTCTTTTCATGAATCCACTCACCGCAATTTGAAAGAGGGCTGCGTACAGTAATTCAGTAATTCACACTGCTAACCACTCGACTATGTAGTTAATAATTAACGAAATTATGTGTAAACTAAAAACAAAGTTATATTTTATTCTTAGGTAAAAATGTTCTGTAAAATAAATCTGAAATAAATTCGAATCTCTTCCCTTTACTCACTATTTTGGAAAATATAATTATTTAGCCTGGTAATTTGTTCAAATTAGTGTTTTATTTTATTACATATAAAATGTATGAATAATTACACTCGCGTATAAATGTTTGAGACTATTTAAAATATGGCTTATGTTGTATATCGTCTGTAGTGCCATAAAGTCAAAAAAATAGTAATGAAAAATTTAATTTCATTGTGAAATATTAAAAAAAAAAATAACTCATTCCATGTTATCAGTAATCAGATTATAAAAGCTAAAGAACATTTAATAAATGTATACATATGACCTATTCGCTATATATTTCTATATTTTACTTTAAAAGTGGAAGACTTTACAAATGTAGAATTTATTTGCCATTGGCCTTGTTGAGTAGAATTTTTCGCTGCATGGAAAATGTTACTGTAAAATATTTTATGTTTAATGATCTATAATAGCAGACACTCTTGACTTCCGTGTATAAAGGCTGATAAAAACATATGGGCCATAATAAATTGATATACCTTAAACATTAATATTTAGCTCATCTAATACTCTTTGACTTAACTAATTCAATGATATTTTGGTAGTCTGGATCCTTTATAAAAAACTCAGTTAAAAAATTAAAAGTGGGCCGATCTTTTGGATTATATTGCCAGCAATTTTCCATAATGCTATAGACATTATCTGGACAATACGTTGGCTGTGAAAGGCGTTTACCATCTTCAATTAAATTTACCGCTTCAGAGCCGAGCATATCGCCGTAAGGAGTTTCACCCAGTGAAAACATTTCCCATAATGTTACGCCATAGGACCATACATCACTTGAATGTGAAAATATTCCAATTTTATAGCTCTCTGGTGCATACCTTACAAAAATAAAATACATTTTTTTAAACATGTTGTACAGACTAGTAACAAAATTACCATTTTATAGGCCATCTGCCACCATGCTGTGCTTCATAGAAATCTTTGTCAGAACCTAGCGCCCGAGATAAGCCAAAGTCGCTTATTTTGGCCTGATGACACGAAGCTAGGAGGATATTACGAGCTGCCAAATCACGATGCACAAAATGCTGAGACTCCAAGTATTGCATACCTAGGGAAATAGCGTAATAATAAATTCATTTACTTATGTTGCATTGATGAGTGTTTGAAATATGTACCATAAGCTATTTGCGAAGCCCATAGTTTCAATTCGCGATTTGGATCAATCCTTTCGCGATTGTTTTGAATGAAGCTTAACATTGATCCTAGAGGCACCATTTCTTGAATCATCATCAAAGTATCTGCTTTAGACAGACCAATTAACTGGACTATACAATGGTGTTTTAAACGAATCATCACAGAGGCTTCACGTAAAAAATCATCTTTACTATAATGACAATGTTCATCGCGCAATGTCTTTATTGCTATTTCTTCTTGAAAATTGTCATTAATTCCAGGGTTGTATTCTTTCAGGCGTCCGCGATAGACAGACCCGAATTCACCTTCTCCAATAAGCTCTCCTAATTCTATATTATCATATGGAATATAGTAGTTCGCGACATCAACACTAAAATAATTGAAGATATCACTTTGCGGCGAAGAAATAGATGAAGTATCAAAACATGCGTTCTCTCTAATGTTCTTAGGTGTGTTATTAATATGTAGACCTTCAAAGCTATCGCTTATAATTTTGTTATTCAGCTTTGAGTGGTCATCATCAGTGTTAGGAATTTCATTTTCTCCCCGGTTCGGCCTGTAAGAATTGAATTTTTATTAAAATATCCAATATCATATTTGTATCTAGTGATAATATTGACTATCTTAGCTATCCTACTTGTTTGCTTGCCCATAATCTACTTCGATGACACCAATTGGACCAAGCTCATCCCATTTTTTGTCAAAAGTGCCTTGATGTCAATCAATACATGTCGATAACATTCCTCTTGAGTTTAATGTTCACTCTTCAAGAAAATTTATACTTTTATTGTCAGATCAAAATTTTGATTGTATAAGGGCTCCAAACATTATAAACATTACAGTGAAAAGGTTTTTAAAATGTTTGTTTCTTTTTTTGTATGTTTGTTTATATTATATTTTGCTTTTTATTAACTTACATTTAATTTGTAAAAATGCAGATTTTCGAATTAAATTTTTTTTTTTTCAAATAAAAAAATATTGGTCGTTGTTGAGTTGAGTTGATACGGCTATTAATCAGTGGCCATCGCTCTAAGGAAAATAGGCCCATTGTGGTACCGCTATGAGGCTCTTATCTTAACCTTCTCAAATATACGAACCATTTCGCGTGTCTTATAAAAGCAACGAGATTAGCAATTCTTGATGAAGCTAGTTCAGCTCAATCTGCGGCAACAATCATTTGAGTAATAGCCTGTTTTTGCGTGAAGCACCATTCAACATGGACCAATTATTGCACCCGTCATTAAGTTAATGTTGTGTTTAAATTTTTCGCGTTCAATTTTGGTCATAGCTGTCTGGTCACATTGCACGTGATCTTTTTCAACCACATAGTGTTTGAATTTTTGGCAAATATCAGTCTTAGCATACTAGTATACTTTGCCGTGGCAAAGGTAAACCTGCGTACTGTGCATGGCTCATTGTTGATATAAGAGTTATTTCTCTTACAAGATTATCTGACTGCAATTGCTTGGGATGTACCTGTGTTCAGGTACCCAGACCACGGCAGTGTTGGATTTAGTCGAGAGTTTGTTCAGATTATAGTTTATTTTATAGCCACTTTTAATGTGGTACTTTTACAGGCAGGTTGACTATCAGAAAATATATCAAAAATGATAGTGCCGTTTCCGTAGATTAGAGCATCAACTCGACGGCTTCAGCGATTGCTGAAGAGTTTAGCATGGAAGACGCTGTAGCGATCTGGTAATCTCATGCACAAATAAATATATTGAAGGCCCACTTTTTCATCGAGCTTTGAGCCGTTCATCGAGGGCGTTTATTTTTGCCCCATTTATTCCTGTTTGGAATTCTTATTTAAAGAGATTGTTGAAGCAATACGTTGTGTTTTATAAGTAGAACGGAGAGTTTGATAATTTTTCCAAGCTCCACAAGAAGAAGGATCTGGATTCTTGTTGGCCAAAAAAAAATTGAAAAAGGGGCTTGGTACTCATAAACCATTTTTTGAAAACAAAGTTACGTTTATGATTTTTTGGAAAGAGAAGAAAGTTTAATCTATATTGTGGCGAAAATCATTTATTTACGATTTGTCTACATTTTTTTAATGTAACGCAGTTTGGTAAACAACATTTTTTTATTCTGTTAGGGGCGTAAATGTACAGAGACGATAGTTTCCCTACTCGTGAACACGCCACGTATAGCTTGCTGTTGCTAACCATCTTTTATATTAAAAAAAAAAAATTGTATAGAAAAAGCCAATATTTGGCTTTCCAATTCTCCGATTTTTTCTATTTCCAAACTTTAGCGCCACTAACAAACATTCAATTTAGATCAATATTAAGCATAATTACACAACTCCCAACACAGCGATACAAAAACTCAAAGGAGTGTGGCAATTTTGGTAGTCTCTTAAGACCACAGCAATTATAGTAAATCCTTTCAAATATCGTGCAATGTATCCGAGTCTAATGGCTATTGCCTACAATATTCCCCTCCGAAGAAGGAGCAGCTTTACTGTTAATGACATTTAGATTAGCAAATTTTTATTTTGAAGCTAATGACCAAGGCAAATTTACACACGGTAGTAGCAAAAATACAAAAACAAAAAACCTATGTATTTTACTAGTGTAATTTGTTGAAATAGAAGAAAGAACAAGCAATCAATGATGTGACAACTTAACCTTCTATAAATTCGCCTCGCTAATGCCACCAATTTTAATTTTCGTTTTCTTTCTTTTCTGACTTTTGTTTTTAATTTTTATTTCAATTTGGCAAAGTGGATTTTATGAACTTAACATGTTTTTGACAATTGTTACACTAGAAGGAAAAATAAAATACATGGTAATAGTTGAATTTGTGACACCTGCTCTCACCTTTATAAATTCATCATATATTGCTATTAAATTTCCAATTTAACGAAAAATTTTTTTAACATACTTAGGAACAGAAAACAACAAACTGTATAAATGCACGCATTCAAATATAGATGCCTTAATAAACAACTGTTATAGAACTTGCTGGCTAACTTTCACTGAATCCTGTTCGGTGTAAACTCAGTAAATTTCTCTTCTTGGGATAGTAAAACGACTTACTATCTCAATTTCGTTACTGGCTAACTCTTACTGATATGTCTCACCGAACAGAGGAAATATATTTTAAATAATAAAAAAGCGAATTAACTTATTGGTTCCTACACGGTTATAAACCGCTCTTGGAACCATGTGTAAATCGCAGCATCTTTAGACCGTAGACCGAAACGTTGTGAGGTCGTCTATTTGCTCTTCACTGCGACACAACAGTCCTCATCGTAACATTTTTGGATTTTAACTTGACGAAAACCAATTGTACTGGAATCTGGTACTAAAATCAACCATATTTACGGCGCCAGCGGAGACGATCAGCTTCATTATTTGGGGACGTTTCGAAACACCTTCTTTGCCCCCACTAACGTTAAATCGACAAGTACGACTCGGCAACTGAGTCTCATTCACCACAAATACATCCCTAAATTTAAACCCTTTTACATACGCTGCAGTATAGTACACAGGGAAACTTATTACCTTTATTATTCATTGGAATAAATATTTATGTAGTAAGTCCCAAACCCTACGCACAATAATACAAGCCTTACAGTTGGCGGATCACATAGCAAATAGTCGAATTTTTTCGTTCAAAAGCTCTACGTAATGCGATAAATGTTCATGGATATAGAAGGAGCGCAGCACGGAAAAAAAATCGTAATTGCTGAGAAAACCTGTAAAGTTCGACATGACTTAGCCAAAACAAATTTTGAGGTATGGATTTTTGGAAACGAATTCTTTTCACACACGGAATATACAATTTTTGGAAATGCTAGCCGATCTAGGGTTTGGTAAAAACCTAAGACTGAGCTTGATGTGAATAATATTATACATATGGTCAAATATAGGGGCGGTGGCGTTATAATTTGGGGATGCATGGCTTCATCTGGAGTTGAACGTGTTGTTTTCATAGAGGTTACAATGGACCGCTATGTACAGTATAGTGGTACGAACTTATTATTATATGGCAGTGTTAGTCAGTTATACGTTTATACACATATATAAACGATGAACAAAGCACTTTTAAGTGAGAAGTCTACCACGTTGCTTACTTATTTACTTAATTAAATGCACGCTAAGAAACTGCAGATACTCTTCGTGAACTTGGAGTCACATTAACAGTCAGCAAACCTGTTTCTATTGAAACGCTCACTAGAAGATATCATTAAAACAAGAAAACCTTCCCGATCTTCTGCACGGAAGCAAGTATCTACCAGCCACAAAGTAACGGCACACAGTCCGTTATGCAAAAAATCTTCCGATAATGGCTCAAACAAACCTTTACGAAGTAAGACTCTTTGGAAGTTAATATTCAGCAAAGGACGTTATCGCATAACTTTCTGCCAAAAGCACAGCGGGAGAAACCCTTAAAAGATGTAAGCTAAATCAAGAGACCAACAATCTGAAAGAAAGCTGTGCATTCCAGTATATAATTTTACTATTCCTATCGTACTAACATCCTAAAATGTATAGAAAATTAGTTTCAATAAAAAATTAAGTTAAACTTTCTAATTGCGATCGGCCCTAGGCAGGGAATGTCAACCCCTCCAAGTGAATTTCATGAAATAAAAGCTCCTCGTAAAAAAACCATCACACTTTTGGAGGATTTGTATAAACTGTAGGTCCCTCCATTTGTTGGAAAAACATAAAAACAATACCACAAAATGGAGGATGAGCTCGGCCGAAAAACGCTTCATCGGTTACAAAACGCCAATTTCATCCATAGGAAAGGTTCCGCAACCGCATCATAACAATGCAACCCTGCTTTCTATAAATTTGCCTTGCAATAATATTTTGCAAACTGACATTGTGGAACGCTTTAGCGCAAAAAAACTTGCTCTCCGACGTCGACTGTTGTTGTTAAGAGTTTATGATAAAATAAAGCATTACAAACCTTAGCGATGCGTAGTTTGTTTTTTTTGCGCATCAATGACATTACCGATGCATTTTGGAACATGATTTATCGTCAAAGTTGCACAGTTGCATTTAGGAATGTGTGACAATGTATGAATGCTTTGCAACTGACGTTTTGGAACTCACCCATATTTCAACAATACCAAGAAAACGTTTCTGCGTCATATGTGCCAAGATGAGTCACGCTTACGAAAATCGCCCAGCAAAGACAGTAGACACAATCGACGCAAACGTAGCAGAATAAAACCACAGGAACATCTCTAGTCTTACAAATCTTGATTAATGAATGAATTAAAAATTTCGGAAATAAGAATTTCAGCAAACTTCCGCTTTCAACACCGAAATATTTAAAGGAATTGATGATACCAAAATGAACCGATAGGAAAAATAATTGTTTTAATAAAATTCCGAAGTTCAATCAAACTTATTAATTATTTTTATACTTAAAGATAGTGACATGAGTTTTATTATTGGGAAGAGATTTTATGAAAAAATAATTAATATTAACTCATATAAGAACAAAACAATGTTAACATAAACCCTAATCCCTCTTCAGTTTTATTTCTAACTTATGATAAAAAATACATATTAAGAAAGACAAACCAAAGTT